CAGGGTAACGCAAAATTTATTTATACAGGTCAAGAATTAATGACGACTGCCTTTGAGAATAAATACCATAATGTGATTACTAAAAAAAAAGAAAGAAAACTGCTGCTTTTGAAGATATATTTGCCTTCTTTAGCCACTACTATCAATGTTTTAGCCAATGATTTATTAATTGATACTTTATTCAATAGTTTAAAAAAGTATTCCAGGACATCTCAAAACTATACTGTTTGTTTTTGAAGATGAAGCTAAGTGATTAATGAACTAGATAAGGAAAAAAGGAAACTTTTATTGTAATGATTCTTTTTATTCTAACATGCTTTATTGATTTACTTTGCCTCTGAATGTTTTTTACCATCCATATTTTGCTATTAGTGTATTAGAACGTTTAAATCATTTTCACTATATTGAATGATGTTAAAATGTGCCAACAATCAATTGCATCTCTCGCCATCTCTCTCTCTTCTCTCACTACCCCTCTTTAAACACACTAATATGATCATCAGCTTCAATCACAGCTAGGTCAGGCTGAGCTAGATTAACTTAGCTGGGGCCACTACTTCTCTCAAAATCCGTGTAGCTTGTACGTCTGGACTCTGAACCACACAAGCATCCAAAAGATGAAGTTGGTGGTCAATTATTATTTTTTTCTTTGGCAGAACCAGGGATTGAACTCAGGCCTTTTTGCTTGCCAGGGAAGGGCTTATTCTACTGAGTCATCTCCTTGATTATTCATTACTCATGTGTTCTACTGTGATAATTTTGTTGGGATAAAATTACATTATCATTTCTGAGATGAAAAATTTGTGTACGAGGGCTGAGGATGTGGCTTAATGAGAGTCCTTGCCTAGCATGTGTACAATATTCATTCAGTTCCCAACTGCTAAATGCATAAATAAATAAATTTTGCATCGAGTACAATTTCTAGCCACGTTGGACATAATAAATTTCAGCATAAGTGTAACCTTCATGTATTTTGTTGTGAATATCAGTAACAGCATTAGTCACTCACTAGGAAAACTCTCAGAAGTTAAGGTTGGGAGTATAGTTCAGTAGCTAAGTACTGGCCTAGCGGGATTGGGACCACTGGCTTCATGCTGTTGTCATGATAGCTGGTGCTACACAACAGACAGAACTTCAGATATTAAATTGTAGCAGGTCACATGCTTGCCACATGACACGCTGTGATATGCAGGGTGCTTCCTTGGTCATCTGTACATAATGAGGCACAGGGAGTCCATAACTCGGGGGGAGCAGGGCACTGGTGCTTCTTCCTTGCCGGTGGACTTCTTTGACCTCTGGGTACATCACTGTGATCCTCAGGATCAAGAAAACTGAAATGAATTCAAAGATGGGGGAGGAGTAAAAATTCGTAACAAATGAGGAATGTTCAAAAGACCTGGAATCCCATTTAGTGTATATTTTATAACATATTTAAAGGACATGGAACCAGCATCGCTATTATTGTTTCAAAGGTTACAATATATTAAATTTATTCTTTATAGCTTTTCTAGGCAGAACTAGTCCCAAGGAGGCAAATTTCAATTCAATATGGAGAATAACCTGTCTAGTGAAGTGGGCTGCATTAAGAGAAAATAAGATTTGATATTAATAGGGATATTTATTCCTAGGCTGGATGACACTTGATGGACTGTGATAAAGTATAGCAAGGATCTCATGGGTATAGGACAACATGGCCTGCAAAGTGCCTTTCAAACTTAAGATTCTTCACAGTATTAGAGAAGAAACAAGTGCATGACCCAAATCATGACTTACCAGCATCAGAGCAGTCACTTTTAAATTGTGCTCTTAGAACTCAGTGTCTCCTTCATCTGCTAAGCCGTTGTGAATTCCTTAAGAGCTGTACATTCAAAATTGTGCTAGACTCGGATGCAGCAGAGTACGGAGGTCACCAGAGGCTGGACCACAGTACAGAGTTCTTTTCTGAGCCCTTTGAGCATAATGGGCGTCACTATTCTCTTTTGGTAAGTAAGATACTTCATTCTACTTTAATTTTAATTCTCTTTTAATCCCTTATTTTTGTAGTCATGTTTTTGTTCAAAAAATATCTTTTCAAATAGTAACAAGAGGACCAAAAAAAGGGGGTGTAGGAAAAGTACCCTGCATTTCAAAACCTGTGTAATATTTTGTGCTAGAACAAATTGGGTGTTTGCAGAGGTGATAAGAAAGGTTATCCTAGGACAGTTGTGGAAAGAAATTTGAATATTAATAGAACAGAAATTACCTCTTAGGAAATGAGTGGAAGACAAGTTTTTTTTTTTTCAGTTATGAATATTTCTGTTCTTCCTATGATAATTTACTTCCTTCCTGTTCTTGCTTTCTTTGGAATAATTTACATTAAGAAGTTTTCCATATTATTGACTACATAATGAAGTTTAATTTAAAACACCTTAAATTAATCAAAAATTGTATTTTTTCCCTTTTATGTAGTAGATTGAAAGCTGAATTCATTTTAGGTTTAAATTTCTCTGGTTACCTATTAGTGAGGCAAGCTTTTTATCAAATAACCACTTTTTACACTGATTTTGACACAAGCGGTAGAGTGCTATTTTACACTACTATATTTCAATTATTTAAGATACAAACTTCTGCAAATTTTTATGTTAGGGAAATTCTTCCTTTTACTTATAGGCTTGTAGTACACTCAAGTCTGCATTAGCATTACATTATTTTTCTTTTGCTCGATGGACCTATGGCTATTTCTCACTCTCCATCTATTTTTTTTTCCCAGATCTACACTTCTTTTTTTTATTTACATAAAGATGAACTTGACATTCATTAATTAGGAGGGAGTTATCTAACAAATATTTTGAATTATAGCTGCTAAGGCACTAAATTTGATAAATCATTTCACTTTTTAGAAGTTTAGTTGTAAATTCAGCATAAAAATATATGTGATGCTCCTGGATCTTTAGTTTTCTACCATTTTTTCCGCTCACAGTGGTGCTAACCCTTTATTAGGTCACTTGCTATATAATGGACAAAATGATGTGCCAGCAAGGCAGTGACAAGGGTGCCTTTCAAAGATTGAGTTGCTTGAGTACATGCTGCTAGGAAAGTGCAGTGACCATGGGAGACTTAGCTATTACATATGGGTGTGTGTTGATGATGACGTTTTTATAGTCTTAGATATGTATAGAGGTGCATGCACATTGTGAGAGAGGGTAAGAGAGAAATCTCAAAGGTGGTATGACTTGTTTCAAAGAGTTGTTATAGTTTATCAGAATATTTGATCTTAGGTATAAGATTGATAAAACATAGCTTCATTAGTCAATAAGAAAATTACCTTTAAAGGGCCGGCCAAATAGCTCAACAGATTATAACGCCTTCAAGCGGGTACAGGGGCTGGAGGTTCAGTTCCCAGCCTGCTGTGCCAGCCCCGCCCCCAGGGCGCACTGAGATAGCAATTGACACTCGGCATGGTGGTGCTCACCTATAATCCCAGCTCTTGGGAGGCTATAAACAGGCAGATCACTACAAGTCTGAGCTAGTAGTGAACACTGTGTAGACCCTCCCCTAAAACACACACATAAAAAAAAAAAAAAAATTACTTTTAAACTCGAGAGTAAACATAGGGGTTAAAGATTCTTTAGTCTTTAAGAGAGGTTAGGAAAAGTGTTGAGTTCACAAAGAAGAATTATGGAGAATCAGCAACCAATTGCAGTAAACCTAAATGTTAACCAACTGAACTAGACTGAAAGAGACTTTAAAGGGTTAGCCAAACTCTGATGCAGCCAGCTCTCCTGAATGTTGACAGAGCCCAGCAAACTTTGACTACAGGCAGGGTCCTGATGTTATGATCACGAAATGTCATAGGAGAGACCTGAGGTATGCTGCGCTCTCTGCCCTATACTGCCCTTGAAAACTTGAGGATTACACTCTTTGTCACCTCAGTTTCCCTCATATGTATAAGAGAAGATTCAGCATAGCATCCTCCCTACAGCAAAAGACTCTTAGAAAATGTAAATTCAGAAAGACGGTCAGCTTTTTGGAAACTGCAAAATGGTACTCCATGTGTATTTAAATAGTATTATTATTGGCAATAATAAATAATAATAAGTGATAATATTGTTTAATAATTGTTTAGATGTTTTAAACCTGGCTAGACGCTAAATGCTTGGAAGGACACGTCTTTAAGAGTACCTTGTCTTAACTTACGGGAAATTTTAATCTTAGATAAAGGCTCATGGTTTTTGTGGATGGACAGAAAATAACATCATTTAACATTGATTTTGTGGGAGCAAAACTATTCTGCCATAATTAAAACAGTCAACTAACCAGTGGCAGCAGCAATCAGATTACTTTCTAAGCACTAATTGAATTGATCTTACAAACGTGGAATGTATAGTTTGAAATTAGCAGGCAGAATGAGGAATCCCTCCTGAGTCTCAATAACATGTAGAGGAATACAGCACTACAAGCACATTAGAGATAGAAAAGCGCTTAACCACTACTGGTAATAGAATTCTGATCCAGCACAGCCAGGAAGATAAGAGCTAGTTTTGGCTTCCCAGGAGCAGCATCTTGTTTTCCATGATTGCAGGTGCTTCAGGAATTGCTCATTTAAATAAGTCTTTAGGCCCCAGATGAAATGTTCACTGGCTTTAATATCAGACAAAGAAATCCCTAATGGACCAGTAAAAGAGCCAGAATGCAAGAAAACAGGTTTCCTTCTTGTATGAATTTTCCTGCAAATAGCCAAAAGGAGGGGAAAGAATCACATGAATAAGTAGCTATTACAGGAATGCCTTATTATAATGAAACTCCTCATTAAATTGAATCCATATGTGTTAAAGTACAATCAGATTCTTCAATATGACCCAAGTGCTATAGATCGCATGTTGCTACCAGTGAAATCCAGCCACCTCGCACTCCTAGAATAAAAGGAGGGAGGACAGAATAAAACTTTAACCTCTTGCATCAAATTTCTGTCCATCATAGCTAGTACACAGCATTTGCTAACATTTAATTTGCAAGCTCAATAATCCAAAGGATCTGCTGAATAAGTGTCAAATCTGTTTTCAAAGATAGTAATGAACAGAGCTTGAAGGAATTTTAAAAAGGCCGACCCTGCTGCAGCATCAGCAGGTAGGACATGAGCATTGTCTCTGAGCTCCTTCAGATGCAGCCATAAAGCCAGGGGATGCCTGCACTCACGGACAGCACAGCGCAGCGCTGCCCAAGTTTCAGGCCCTGTCCAGTGCTGAAGAGTGGGAAGGCAGGATTTCTCCCATTTGCTTTACTGATAGTTACCAGCAACTTCACTTTAGCATAATCATTTCTCTTTATTTTGGTTCCTGATATGGGAAACTAAAGGTTAATTTGTATGCTAATTTGTACACATGGGGTAGGAAGGCTTCCTTTCTCTGGTTCAAATTCCATGGCACAAATGGGAGACAAGAGGTTATTTAGACTTCAGTGAATTAGATTTCTTTACAGCAACTGTAGCAGTTTCACTAATAAAACTATGAATAAAGCAAGCAGTTTAGCATTGCCAGTTAAGCTCCTTGTCAATAACAAATAGATATATTTATTCATATCTAAATTTGGAGATGTGAAAGTAGACTTTTAGCTTAAATAGCGGATTTGACACAGTTGAATCATTTATTGTCCTTTAGTTTTAAGTCTAGAAAATGCTATTTAACAGTTGGGATGTGTCTTAAGCTCTAACAAAGTTATAGAAATGTTTAATTTTTTAATTGAAAAATTCTCAATCCTTCAACTTTTCTCATGTTTCTAAATTAGATGAGATAATACACATTTCTATATAGAAATAATCATTAGCATCACTTTCTCCGAATGTAAAAATATTTTTGTTACCTAAAGAATATACATGAAAAATAAAATTACATGTCACTTTCAATTTTCAAAATAAGTTGTAAAAATTTTCTGTAAAATACTCTAGTAGAGTATATGTAGACATAAAATATTTGGTATACTTTTAATTGAAAAAGTTTTAATCCTTCCATATTATATCTGAATATGTTATTGCTAAATTTAACAACATCTAAGAAAATTTAAAACTCAGCCTTTGTAGTATGAAGCCTTTCTTGTTTAAAAATTTCCAATGCAAATGTTTGACACCTATTTTCAAAAATTGTGTAAATAATTTTTACAACTCAGTCATGACCCCAGAGGGGGAAAAAAAAAACACATTACGAGTAATATACTAGAATAAGTCACTGTGTGACCAGCTACCTCTTTAGTCATATTATTACTGTAGTAATTAAGATAGTCAAAATAACTGAATAGATTAGCATTCATTTGACTTCCAGTAAATGAATTGGATTGTACTGCACTCTTCCACCTCCCTCCAACAAGTTGATGATGAAGACAGCTGGAAACAGTGAAAACATAGCCATGTTATCTCATGTGAATATAGTATGAGCCTTATTGCCTAATGTTTAGAGCAAGGCTAATAAGTGTACAGGGTAGATATGTTTACCAACATGTGTAACCTGCATGGTAAATTATGTACAGGCTGAGGCTGGAGAGATAGCTCAGCAGTCTAAGCACCTCCCTGGCAAGTACAAGGGCCCGGGTACAATCGCCTCGGTACCACATGCCATGCTGCCCCACGTTGTGCCAGCCACCGAAACTGGGCATGGTGGCACACGCCTGTACTTCCAGCACTGGGGAGGCTGAGACAGGAGGATCACTATGAGTCCAAGCTGAGTAGCAAGACCCTCTTCCAAATAAATGAATAAAAGATCAAAATATTTTTCTAAATTATGTAGAACCTGCATGTCTAATGGCACTTGCTATGTGCGAGAAATTGTAAATTATTCTATTTAAATATATATAAGCATTTATATTTAAATCTAGTTATGTTTGCTTCTTGTTTCTCACGGGATCAATTACTACTAGCTTTTGAATTAAAATTATACAAGAGTATAAAGCCAAACAGTACCAAGTTTAAGGGATCCCAAATGTTTCTAAATTGTCTTCTCATAAGGATTAGCTCAGATTACCATTAGTTCTTTAGTAAAATTGGTAGTCATTTCCTAACTACTAAGAAAAGAGTTTATATACTAATAAGAAGAAAACAAAGTTCCATAGTCATAGATAAGGAAAATCTCTTGCTTGGGGGAATTCTTTCATGTCACTTATACCACAAAGACCTTAAGCAACATAAACACATTCTAGTAATTAACACTGCAGTGAAAACTATAATTGCATACTGTCCCTTGTAATGATATAATAATCAACTCAAGGTTTTTGAGTACATAGTATTAAGAGGTCTCTAGATGTGACTAGAATTAGCATTATAAAATTTCTAATGTAAAATCAGCCAGCATCATCATATAGAGATCTCAGAGTATTTTACTTTCTTTGGTACCAGGAATCAAACTGAGGACTTTGCACCTGGAGCCCTTCGTGGAACATTTTTTAACCATTAAATTACAAAAAGAAAATTTGGCATGTGTATTCCAAACTTAAGCTTCTACTGGCATTCTTTTTTTTTTTTTTTTTAATTTTGACTGTGAGCTAAATAAACATCAGAAATTCCAAAGAGATTAAGACTGGAATTATCAGTACAGTATATATTATTATATTCCATTCATGAAATTATTATAAGATTAGGGGCCAGAATAGGCATCCTAACTGTATAGGATCCAATTAGTGGGTTTATGGATATTTTTCTCCTGATATATCACTATACACACATTGAAAGGGGCCTGACATTATTTGGCCTACATCTGATTAATGTTACATTGCTAAATTATCAAGAAACTGGACTTAGCAAAGTCTTTTCACCAGTGCAACGGGACAGTGCCTGATTAGACAAACGTTTTCAATGTACAGGCAACTGAAATTTTGTGTGGTTCTGGTGTGAGAGAGAAATTGACATTAATCTTCAGTTTTAAATCATAGCAAAAACAGAACAATTGTGATTAGAACTTGCTATTTTACTAATTAATTGAACACCAGTAATTCTGATCTTTAAATCTAAATACATAGACTCACCCCTTCACTGAGTAGATGAGAAACCCCTTTAGAATCCTGTTCTTTGTTAGGGTAGGTTAGGCTTAATTTGGGTCCATTTTGATGATCGTGAGAAGGAATGAGATACATCAGACTGTTGGTTTCTTTCTCCTGCTTTTCTTTGCTCTCTACAACTTTTGTCTACAGTTTGATTATGGGAGTATGCTAGCCTCTGGCCAGCAACTGTGATTATATTGTTCATTCTTTCTTTTTTTTTTCTTTTGGAATTGAACTCAGAACCTTACACTCGCCAGGCAGGCACCGTACCACTGAGCTGTCTTCCAGCCCCTGCCTGTGTTGTTAATATCCTGTATTTTTTGTGGATACCTCCTGATTGTTTCCTTAGGTTGAAAAAAATCTGATAGCTTCTGACCTATCACATAGACAAAACTACACAGAAGAGTTTGCATTAGGAATTAAGTTCCGATGTGATTTAAAAGTTGTAAAGCCTTAAATATCTGGGCACGGTGGTGCACACCTGTAATCCCAACACTTCAGAGGATGGAGCAGGAGGACCACTGCAAGTTCAAGGCCAGCCTGGGCTGTACAGTGAGCGCCAAGCCAGCCTGAATTATATAGGGAAACCCTGTCTTGGAAAAACAAAAAAGATCTGAAGTTCAACCCCAGCCAGGGTGACTTGGTGACACCCCTGTCTCAAAGTTGTTAAGACATTAAATACAATGTGCAAATTATGGGGAAACATTGTAGAATTGAAATACTGGTGTCCTCACACTGAATGAATATAAGGGGGTGATATTTATCATTTTAGAGATACTTGTTTGCAAACTAGACAGTAAGTCATTGAGCTACACAGAAATTATTAACATTTGTGCATTATTTTCTCAAATGAGTATGAGTTTCTGAAGCACTATTATATTTCATTGAAGACTAGAACAATTTTTCTCTGCTTATTATATTCCATAAGTTTCATAAAATCCTATCATTTTTAAATTACCCTTAAGTTTTGATGTTCAAAAGTAACCAGCTTATTAGTGCATCTGAGATAGATAGATATCTCAAATATAAGTCTGTCATATCTCTCTCTGTATTACACACATGCACATATAGAGATAGACGGACAGGCAGGCAGGCAGGCAGGCAGACCCATTTCTCACAAATACCAGAAAGGAAAACATTTTTTTTTCATTTGTAAAGTTAGAATGCTTTGAACATACAAGTGTTATTCAATGTTATATAATTATATACATAAAATCAACTTTTTTTCCTCCTAAAATTATGCCTGCTTTGTATCCTTCATTCTACTCTAAGCTGTTTAAAAACCTTTGCATTTTAACCATCAGTTAAGTTTTTATTTAAAGAATCACAGGGATGACAGTGACCTACACTTTTATTTTTTTCTGGTAACTGTTAATAGTTCAGTATGTTGTGCGTAGAACAACACATCCATAATCTTTTAAGCATATGTCACCTACATTTTATAAAAGTTGTTTCAGATAGAAGCACATCAGAGAATATCTTTGAAATATTCCACATTGATCCACCATTATTCCTGCATTCAGTACACATGGTTTTGGGCATCCTGGCACCAGCTTTGTCCAGTGACATCAGCCGAGTATGAGAAACTGAAAAGCGTATGGCCTTTGCCTATATAAATCTCGTAGTCCATAGGACAGGATGGATGCTGTGGTCAGACATGAGGCGGAAACCAGTTGTATCTGAGATTGTCAAGGAAAGCTTCTCCGAGGAGCTGGGACCTTTATCAGTACATGTGGCCAGTACTAATGAATATCGTGGGTAGTCGGCTCGCTGATGGATCCAATGTTACTGCAGTTACTTCCCCTCCTCTCTCCTTAGGTCTCCTGCCCACTCGGAAAAGGTCTTCCTGGTAGTATCCTCTTACTGTATCTTTTATTTTCCTTTTACATTATTTATCCTTTAGGTTCCTCATGTAAGAGGGTCTCATATCTCATACCATGTAATATTTAAACCGTGTCTGATTTCTTTCACTTAGCATTATGGTCACAAGGTGTTATCAGTTTTCCTAAAAAAATCCAAATGTATCCTTTTTTAATGACTCAAATGTATTCTGTTTGAAGATCCAAGATGCACAGACACAAAGAAAGCAGAGTGTTCTGGGCAGGAAGCACATTGCAGACAAAGATTCAGAAAGGAAGAGTTTGGAATAATGAACGAGCTGTTTAGCTCCAGTAGCTGGGCCCAGAGAATCAAGGGAGAAGATGTGAGAGTGCAGAGGAGCCCCTTGGTCGGATCCAGGCAGGAGGAGCGGAGTCAGTGCTGTGCAGGGTGTGGCAAAGATGTGTATTCTATTTTGTATAGAAACACACACTTTTTGGTCAGGTTAAATTAAAGAGGGCCCTAAAATCCAACTGGAGCTAGGCATGATGGCACAGGCCTGTAATCCCAGAACTCGGAAGGCAGGAGGATCATTGTGAGTTTGAGACAAGCCTGGGCTGCAAAGTGAGCTTAAAGTCAGCCTGCGACCCTGTCTCAGGGGGAAAAAAAAAAAAGCCAATAAGGATCCCTTATATTTCAGTTGTTCTTAAAATGCAGAGAAACAAATGGTGGTATTATAAGTGTCCTGAGGCAAAGCCAAGCTTTGTGTGTTACCTTTATCCATCTGTTAACTGTCTAAGCAGAGTAACAATGTGAGCTCCATAAAGAGCAGCCCCCCTCCCCCACTCCGGATCAGGCCCTAGTAGGGCAGCCAGAGCCATCTCTGCTGCTCCTGAGCGATGCACATTTTTTTGTACATAGTCTGGAGCCCTCTTGTGGTGAGTATTTTAAAGTGCTCCTGCATCCCTCCTGGAAGCATGAGGGGAACCTTTGAAGAGCTGGTGGAATTGGGGACGTACCTGTGCCGTTAGTCAAATATGTCTGTGTCATGTCTGTGTTGTTTGACATAATGACAGCATGTTCAGTATTCCTTCCAATCACACTGACATGATTGTGTTTACCTAGGTGTACATTCCAAGCCGCGTGGCTCTCATCCTGCAGAATGTGGACCTGCCAAGCTGAAGAGAACTGATTTCTCCCCTCTACATGCAGATTGGAGTTTTCTTTGCTGGCTTGAATTGTCACAGAGTTTATAACATGTAAGCAGGTACCTAGCCAAAGTGTCCGACTGAAATTCAACATTGTACATGCAACGGTATCAAGCTTTTCTTTAAGTAGTGAAAATGGTATGTTTAAATTTGGCGCATCTATTTTCCCAAGCCATCTGAGCAGCTAGCGTTTTCAAATCAAACGTATGTCTTAAAAACATTTTACTTTCCTATGTAGTCACTTAATCCTTTTAATTTCAAATTTGAATTATGTGTCATACATAATTATGTCTGTTGAATGTATAGTGCATTTTCAGGGTGGATAGTGGATGGCCTTATTTGTATCTGTTTGTCTAAATTATAAGTTGCCAAATTTCTCTGTTTCATTCAAATTGTGTTTAGAAATATTGTATTAAATATATAGCAGACATAATGTAAAATTTAGAATTGTATCAAAGGTAACAAAGTCTGTGTCTGAACTTATCTATGCTTCATTTTGCATTAAGGCTTTATCTTATGATCTTCTCATATACTATTTTGGAAGATGGCAATGTATCAGTTCTCTGAAGACTTGGAGTAGTAATTATAGCATATCAAGCTGTCTTTTGCTTTCAATCAATTAAAAAAAAACTTGCAGAATTGCCTTTGCTACTGTTTATTGCACCATCCTATTGTAGACATCATTTCGGAGTGAATTTACCATGTCTATTCTCAGTTCTGACAACTTCCCTGCATATGTTCATATGTCCATGATGTGTTAGGAAGAAAATCATTTTTCTATGTTGGGAAACATCTTTTATCTTAAAGTCATATTAACCAGTTCTTAGATAGCTCAGCTCCTGCTTAGCAGTACATCTGAGCACTTCTAGACTCTGAATTAACTCTTTGAGTTCACTGGGGTACTTTTTCATGAAACTATCCTTCCATTATTAAATAGCGGGCCCAAGATGTTCACTGGTATTCAGCTCACTCCTGTCTGAGAAGTTATGATGCATTTATGAGAGAGACAGTACCTACGATGGTACCTAAGACATCACTTTTTTTACCCTATAGCAACGCTGGCTTCTTGGTGGTTTTGTTTGTTGGTTGCTTGGTTTTAACCTGATACATATTGCGATTAATAATAGTTATTAAAAACTCAGTGATGGACAAGATATTAATCACCACCCTTAAGCTGTTTAGAGTATTTAGGCCTGGAATGTATAATTTACTTAAAACTCCAAATGAAATGGCAGTTTGACTTCCTGAGAGGCTCAACAGTACCAGCTGATGTGGTGTGTAGGGCAGTATCACTGAAGCCGCCGTGGTTCTTTCCCTTTTACAGGGGCATATGAATATCCTAGCGCTGCCGTGATTGGTGTTGTCTATCTCTATGGATCGCAGCACATGTAGCCATGATGCTTTGGGTTCTGGTTTAGAATTGCATACCATTGGGCTGGCGAGATAGCTCAGCAGACTAAGCACCTGCTTAGGCAAGCACAGGGGCTGGGGTTCAATCCCTGCACCTCATGCTGCGCTGGCCCTGCCCCCTGGCTGGCCCACTGAGCTGGCCACAGTCCGGTTGTGGTGCTGTGTGCCTGTAAGCCCAGCGCTGGGGAGTCTGAAAGCAGGAGGATCACTATGACTCCGAGCTGTACACTGAGACCCTGTACCCAATACATTAAAAAAAAAAAAAAGAATTACTATTACAACTTTTGTGTTTGAAAACATGTGCTATTTCTCTATGAAGGGTTTTTTAAATAACCAGCAATTAGCATCAGAGTCCATTTTCTTTTCATTTTGACCTTTCTGGCCATGTTAAAAACCAGAATAACAATCGCTATATTTTCAAAATGTAGGTAAGACTTGGCTAAGACGTCCTTTGGATTTCACACTCTTAAGTTAGATCTTGCTGGTGTACTGTGCATTTCTTGCCCTGTTCAGGTGCCCATGCACAGACATGCCCAGAAGAGTAGCACACCCGTGTTGTTAGGTAAGAGTCCTAATAATAAAACATTAGGAGTCCAGAATAAAAGGCAGCTTTCTCTCTCGCTCTCTCTCTCTCTCATCATCTGGACAGTTTTTGTAAAACATTCTAATACTCTGTCATATTTCACTGTAGAACTTTTGTTTTGATATCAGTGACTTACAACAATTTTCCCCCTAAGTGCTTATTACTAGCATCCGAAATGCATGTAACCCATCTTTGTTGACTTCTTAAGAGTATTTTTGCTGGCTTAATTTTTACATCCTAAAAAACATAGAAGACTACAGACTTATTTGAATCATTTTCTAATATTAGCAAACAAGTACGAATCATTGTTTTATTATCCAAAATGAGATTTACTCCAGTGCTGATAATGGTCAATATTTTAGCACCAGTACCCTGCTCAGAAGAATGGAGGTTGTAGTAGACAAAAGTGAGATCATAAATATTTTTTCTACAGTGTTTTCCACTTTATACCACTTGAATTCTGAAGGTCAATGCCTCACATATTTTCTCTTCTGAAAGTCTGATATTTGTCCCTTTGCCTTGTTCTTAGCTGATGTATTCATTTCTAACATAAAATGAGGAATTTAACCTCCACATTCCCCAACTTCAAAAAGTAACCAGTGACAATAAACTGACTTGTCTCCCAGGAACTGTAAAGAATGCAAGTGTGCTTTCTTCCTCGGACTAAAGCACACCCGCCCCCACCCCCAGCAATAACAGTGCAGCATTTGCCTCCTGTCGGGGCTATAGCCATTACTATGCAGGACCATTCAGGAGGTTGCCTGAGTAAGGAGCCTACCTTCAAATAATACACAAGACCGTGCAGAACGATCCAGGGGAAGGCAATGAAAGGTAATGGGTTTTCCTCCCGAGTTCAGCTTTCAGCTTTAGGGCAGATATCTTTTCACTGTCTCTGGTCCTGTAGCCATGGGCTTTGGCAATGAGAGCAACATAAACCTGCTTTGCTATTGCTTTTCCTGTCTAGGAGGTGGGGAGCAGACGCAGCCGACAGACACCCAAATGGTGAGGCAGCTTCCAAGCTGGCCTGCTGCCTTTCGGTCTATTGCTTTGTGTGCGTATTTTGAGTCATGCTCTGAACTCGGGTTCTTTAGAGTGGTGGAGTTCATTTGTCTATTCTTATAAGGGGGTGAACACTGAGCTGTGAACTTTGCTAGGTGAAATATTCTGATGAAAGAAAATAGAAATCTGAGGCAGAGCAATGTCATGTCCTTTATTCAGAGGAGTTCATTTATCATTCACAATGTGTTGGAATTGAAATGTAGATAAATTTTCTCACTAAAGCCAGCCTTTAGGGGGAAAAGAATCAAATGAACTCCCTACTAATTTCTCTGCTCTATTATCCTATTAATGATGATTTGTAGAAAATTGCAGAGAAACATACTTTCAGGCAAGAATTGATAATTGGTATTGTGAAGAATTAAGATACAGTGGTTATGAGTATTTTTGTCTCTGTAATTTAAAACTTTACATCTGGGTTTGACTCTTGGCAAAAACTGCCAAGGAAGTAATGTTTATGTATATGAAAAAATTATTTGGTACTAGATATGCTTATGCTAAAGAGCCTGTCATTTGGAAGCTTAATTATGACTTAATTGTTCTTCCGTAATTTGTTGGGTGAGAAAAGCCACCCAACAATGTGGACTGTGGGCCGTTTTAACTGAGAAGTGTGTGACAGTGGACAGAAGAGCTGCCCTCCAGTTCCAACCCTTTACTCCCCCTGCATCATGTTTGTAAACATCAGTGGCTATTTGTTCCTATTCAGGTTACCAGGCAATGACAGCGAGAGGATGAGCCACTGCCATTGACTCTACACAGGTCCTTAGTTAACCAGCGTGGATAGTGAGTCGGAGATCCAAACTGGTGTCAGGGATGCGGCTGTCCCCGCCACCTGGCTGTCATGCAGGACTCCTCGCTAAGTTCATGTGCACTCTCAAGTGAGGTGTGGCATGCTCTTTACAGGACTTGTGCATTTCCTCGGCCGTTACAGGTGAGGCAGATTCCCAGGCTTGCGCTGCTGCTTTCGGGTGCGGAGCTTACCTTTTTCTTTAGTGTGCAACCTTGTGCCCCCTTCATGTTTTCAGCCATTGTAATACTTCGCACTGTATAACCAAGCCTGTTGGATGTGGGTTCACGACCTCTTTGCAGTAAACAAAAGGGCAATGTAAACTAAATACTAAGTGAAATTGCAACAGGGACCCTCCAGGGAGGCACAGGAACTAAATATAGAGCTTCTCAGCTCCTGTCCTTCTTCCCCTTTACCCAGCCTAGAAGAGAGCCCTGGCAGAAGGAACAGATGACAGCAGGGTATTGGGAATTGTTTTGTTTGTTTGTTTATTTTTTTCTGTTCATTGTATTTGATACAGGGTCTCACTACACAGCTCAGACTTGTAGTTGTGCTTCTGTTTTGAGCCTCCCCAGCTCTGGGATTATAGGCACACACTACCATGCCTGAACTCGGTCAATAGCTCAGCTCGCCCTGGGGGCAGGGCCAGTGCAGTATGCAGGATTGGGGCTCAAACCCTGGCCCCTGCACTTGCCAAAACAGGCGCTTAGTTGACTGAGCTATTTCATCAGCCCCTAAGGGTCTTGGAAATTGTGAAAGAGAACTGAGTCTTAGAGATGTTTTAGTGCATCATGCTTTGGCTTGAACGCCTATTCTCATCAGAAACATACATCTTCAGCAAATACACATGTGCACAACTCTATATTAACTTCTTGATGGGGGAGGAAATATCAATCCCTGACCTGAAATGGTGACAACTTTTTGGTATTTATTTGCAGTAACACGAAGCAAAGCAGAAAATCAGCAAACCCTCCCCCAAAAGGCATCAGATTACTTTGCCACAAGGCTATATATTAAATGACAAAATAAGTTTCAAATTATTTATAAATACATATATAAAGTAAAATGGAAGAAAGCTGAAAATGTGTGGGAAAGTTAATATATGTTTTTAGAATATGTTCATGAATATATGAATACACATATATAATATGTAGATTAGCTGAATATTTACAAAGTTCACAGATTCTGGTATTTATCTTGAGTAAAAAATACATTGATCTTTGTATTGCTGATACTCGGGTATTTATCTAGTTTTTTTATAAGCATCAAATCTGACTTTTATTTGGATTTAAAGAAATGTCCAAATCTACGCAGTGAAATACAATGTATGATCCAAACATTTTCAAGACTCTCCTGTGTTTTTTATTTTTCCTCTAGAAGGAGGGAAGAGGGAAAAAAAGTAACCTTTTGCTTTCTTTTTTTATGTCCCAGGACTATTTTTAACTGAGTTTGTAGTCTTGGTTTCACTCACTCAGTGGTATAAATGATGAAAAACTCCGTTATTTTATTATATGAATGCCCTCAGTCACATGAATTGTTGGTCAAAACTGCTTGCATGAGTTAGGGATCCTGCACACATGCAGTCTGTTCTTTGAGAAAAGTGGGCATCACGCGGTGAGACTTTTCAGCTTAGAAAGCTCAGTAGAACAAATAAGTCCTGTCTAAGCATATATTTTAAAGACACAGAGTCCTGGCTACCATGTACCGGGTGCTTTCTTATTCATGTATCTGCTGTGGGGTACTCTTTAGGCCTCTTAGTCTGAATGCTATGCAGACTCTACAAAATGATGGCTCCTG